GTATGTAATGGAACATTGTTGCAACTAGGTACTCTCTTCATATCGTAAAGTTTCTTTTCAGCTACGCCAAAAGAGGTTAAAGACGTCGTAACACGTGCTGCGAAGTTCCTGGATACGTACATATTGTCTGGAGAGTATAAACCTTGGAATGCTTTCTTTTCTGGCTCCGTCAAAGGATCAGGGGTAAATGATGTAGACAATTTATATAATTGTATTTGTTCTAGAGTCTATGTGTATGTCAACATTTACCCTGAAAGTTACGAAACAAATCGGATATGATTTCTACAACATTAGTTTTTAGTAAATTCATGTCAATTGAAGGTTTTTCATGTTATAAGGGCAAAAAAAAGGGTTTCTAAAACAGAAGTAATGAGCGTAATGGTGTTGATCTCATGAAGAGAAAAACACGAATATCTGAACAAAATCGATGAAGGCAAGCTAAAACCAAATGAAATATTTACATTATTTGAACGTGTCCTTCTCTAAATAGTATAACGTTCCTGAATAAGAACACGGTAAAAATTAGTGATACAACAGAAAAATGGGTGTTTGTGATTTGGTTTGATATCAACAGATAGAATCGTTTTAAAGATGGCCTCCTTCCCTAAGTATTTATGTTTATGTGTTGAGTACCTGCATTTCTGCTACGATGTGTTCATGAGACCCTTCTTGTGACAGTGCGGAAGTGATGCCGAATTTATAGTGTTACCATACTGAAATAAACTGTCGAATCCCAAAGCAGGACACAACTTTCAATCAGATTATACTGACGAAAGGCAAAACCAATTTTTGCACTGCAGGAATGTTCAGCGTTACGTTGCAGCCTTTAAACTACTCTTACGTCTTCATCTACCTACGTCTCGTAGAAATAGTGTCTAACCGTTTGGATATTGTAAGGAATGGTAAATGTGAACACGCACAAGATTATTATCAATATGAAATGGAAAATCCAAAAGAGGGAAATGGAAACATCTCGCTTATATATTACTTGTCATAGAATTTGGTGGAGAGATATACTAGAAAATATTCGATTGAATAAATTTCATTGAAAAAAAGAAATCCTGGTATGATTCTAGTATAGAGTATATGAAATATATATTTTAAAGGCGTTTTTCTTGAGACTAGGTTTTTAATTATTTCAATACAGGGAACTTTTTAAAAGCTTTCTGATATATACATAATTTACCATTCACTCTCTTTAGTGTATCTTGATTATTGAAAAATAAGTCTGGGTTTAATACATCTTTTGTCCTAATTATGTCATTAATACAGTGTTTGAAGGGTTAAAACCAATTGCAGTGTCTAACCCGAAATACTTAAAAGGATTTTCTGAAATTTTGATATTTTGTTATTATTTATCACATCTATTTCAAAATTATCTTTATTATTATATTTATATATTATATTTTATCATTAAATTATTTTTCATAATAATTTCACTTAAGGATGTATCACCAGAAAAATTATCATCTCACTTAATTGCAATATCAACTGTACCATTAACATATATAAAGAAATAAAAAAAAATCCCTTAAAACTGATACTAGAATATGATGGGTGTGGTCATATTGTTTATTGCAGTACCATGGAATTTTGAAAGGAGGGTTCAGGACAATTTTTTCTCATCGTTTGAAATAAGGCGTATTCGATCTATTGAGGCAATGATTGATAGTTTATCTCTATGATGTATATGTAATCATTCATACCTTTTACACGCATTCACTTTTTTCATTTTAAGCGAATATTTCATAACAAGGATCCTAGATCTTAAATGAAGTTGGATTAAACAAATATGTATAAATTAATAATATATTTTCTTTTAATTTTTCCGTTTTCTTAGACGTCTTGGTCAGAGTATCCAGCGAATCGGCATGAATATTTCAATGGGACCAAGGTTCTTCCAAATCATCATTACCATTCTGCTACCATCCGAGGAATGCAAGGGGTTCCGAATGAAACCTGGTACAATGAAGAAGAGGCTACAATGAGATCACCTATCGACTTCCCTGGATTTAACCATCAGGATAGATACTTTCCGTTCTGGTCCTCAGAGCCATACACATACGCTGTTACGATGTTAGCCCTGTCCACCTTCAGCAATATTGTGTGAACCATGTTAATTATCATCACATATATCTACGTTTCTTTTGTAACGGTATAAAATAAAAACACAAAAAAACTTCTTCTATGGATATTTATGAGTTTCTATGATATATTGAAGATTGGCTTGGATTGTACGTTATATACGAATTGTTTCATTGTCTTAACATATTAAGAACATATAATGACATTACAAACATGTTACAACTACCAAATTATAAAAAGAAATATTCACAAACTGAAACAAACATTTCAAAATTACAAGAGAAATGACTTATTTTTATGATTGAAATGGATCCACTGATCTACATTAAAATAATATAATATAGAAATGTATTCTCCCTATGTCCTAAGATATGTATAATGTTCACAGGAGTTAGTTCCCCTGACTCAATAATATGTTATATGTTATAATTGTATAAAACTCAGCCTATCGACCTAGGTACACATTTAAATTCCAGGCTCACGACTATTCGGTTCGCAGTTCGTAACAATATAATTTTATATACTAGCTATTGTAAGAAATGCTACATTTTATTTATGTCTACAATCATTTGAAGTCAATCTTTTTTCGTCTAAATGTGGCATATTGGTCTGTGCAATAAACAAAATTAATGTTTCCCAAATCCTGGCCGTCTTAAGATATTCTAATGAGATTTTTTCGTCGACAGTCTATTTCTGAGGTATATCTGAGTCCTCTTCGGACAAGAAAACGCTCTCTCATAACCTGAATACAAAGATAAGGTTAGTCATTTATAGATTAAAATTCATATTTCATTAATATCAAAACAAAAACTTGATACTTTTACATACATGTATTTTTCACATGAAACATGCATTGTATACTCTCATGTGATTGTCAAATACTCTACCCATCATAACATTCTGTTCAGAGTCCCAGTACATCTGTACAACAACTTGTACCTTTGCTCCCAAATTTTAATATATCATGAACTCCATTGTAAAAAAGTTAAGGACTGCGTAATGTCTGGATAATGCGATCAATGGCTATTGTTTTTCCATATCGGTGTCGGCGATGACAACGGGATGGATTCCATTCTCGGCGATTGACTAACTGATAATGAATAGTTAAGTAAACCAAATATGGTTAAATAACGACATCTACTTACAATGTATCTATGTTATCATGGAAAGGCTGACAGGACATTCAGTGAATATGTTTTTAAATTATGAAAATCAACATACACTGTATGTGGATTGTTTTCAAGAACTAGCTGAAGCGACATTACTATATGGATTTCCCTTAAATTAAATGAAATAAAAGTATCATAACTATGCCACTTAAAGTTTGTTTTTTTCTGTGAGGTAATGTCATGAAATATGTGTTTAATCCAAAATACAAATTAGTGTAAGGGAAGATGTACATTAAGTGGCTGTATCGGTGTGTAAGGGCATGTGCTGGGTAGTCTGTATCGGTGTGTATAAGACCTGTGCTGGGTAGTCTGTATCGGTGTGTATAAGACGTGTGCTGGGTAGTCTGTATCGGTGTGTATAGGACCTGTGCTGGGAGTGTGTATCGGTGTGTTTAAGACCTGTGCTGGTTAGTCTGCATCGGTGTGTATAGAACCTGTATTGGGTAGTCTGTATCGGTGTGTATAGGTCGTGCGCTGGGTTGTCTGTATCAGTGTGTATAAGACCTGTACTCGGTAGTCTGTATCAGTGTGTATAGCACCTGTGCTGGGTAGTCTGTATCAGTGTGTACAAGACCTGTGCTGTGCATTCTGTATCAGTGTGTATAGGACATGTGCTGAGTAGACTGTATCCGTGTGTATAAGACCTATGCTGGATAGTCTGTATCGGTGTCTATAAGACCTGTGCTAGGTAGTCTGTATCGATGTGTATAGGACCTGTGCTGGGAGTGTGTATCGATGTGTATCAGACCTGTGCTTGGTAATCTGTATCGGTGTGTTTAAGACCTGTGCTGGTTAGTCTGCATCGTTGTGTATAGAACCTGTATTGTGTAGTCTGCATCGGTGTGTATAGAACCTGTATTGTGTAGTCTGCATCGGTGTGTATAGAACCTGTATTGGGAAGTCTGTATCGGTGTGTATAGGTCGTGTGCTGGGTAGTCTGTATCAAAGTGTATAAGACCTGTACTCGATAGTCTGTATCAGTTTGTATAGGGCGGGTGCTGGGTAGTCTATATCGGTGTGTATATGACCTATGCTGGGAAGTCTGTATCGGTGTATATAAGACTTGTGCTGGGTAGTCTGTATCGGTGTGTATAGGACCTCTGCAGGGTAGTCTATATCAGTGTGTATAGGACCTGTGCTGGGTAGTCTCTATCAGTGTGTATAGGACCTGTGCTGGGTAGTCTGTATCGGTGTATTTAAGACGTGTGCTGGGTAGTCTGTATCGGTGATAGGACCTGTGCTGGGTAGTCTGTATCGGTGTGTATAAAACCTTTGCCTGGTAGTCTGTATCGGTGTGTATACCTGGTCAAATAAATAACTTCTCATCGCATACTTCATGTTTGTAAGATATTCTATAAAAGACACAGAAAATAACTGCGCCTTTCAATCCTAAATTCCAATCCAAAGATACATTGCAGCTAAATTGGTATTGTTTAAAACATGACAATATTAGAAAACAAGACAAGAAAAATGGAAAACAAGACAAAATAGCTTACTAATCACAAAACATGACAATGTTTGAAGTCAAGACAAGACAGAAACAAATGGGAAGCAGGACAAACCAACTAACGAATCACTTTACAATGGTTTGAATGTCTTGTTATGTGTAATCGTTTGCGATAAGGCTTTCAGACAAGTATTGTGACCTTATGTGCCGGATAAAGAACACCTATTCTACAAGTCTGACGTGGTCCACTGCGAGGAATAGGTCTAGAGTTTGATGGTCGTTAGTTTCGCCCATTAGACATGGAGGGAATCACATTATCATTAATCGTGTTAGGATGTTTTACCGTTATTAGTCCTACTTATGGAGACGTGGAGGAAACGGTCGAAGCACTATTCAAAAGAATAAAGCTGATGCAGGTACAACGGACGGTGCCCTCAATACCGCCATTTTTCTGGGGGAAATTTCGCGGAATTTATGAAAGCGATGTTCGACAGTATTTTCATGGAAACCCTGACATGAGCGCCCTCCGTTATGAGTTTAAAGTATTTGATAATAACATGTTTGCAACTGCCTGGATAACATCGTGCCTCATGGAAGCTTATCGATATGGAAAAGCACCGAAGCCTTCCGAGGAGCAAATCAGTATGTCGATTGATATTTTAATGGACAATCACAACGACAAAAACACAAACTATACTAACTCAATCATGGCATTTTGGCCTCAGGAGTATGACGAAAAATACAAGGTAAGTCACTGTGGCTACATTCGTAATATCTAATGTACCAACGGTTTAAATACCAAATACATCTGCTTGAGATATGATATTAAGTGCAAATTGCATTCAGTGTGATCATATCATCTATTTTATATAATATAACTTCATTATTCTAGTTTAAATGTGAGCACCGTTATGCTACGGACACAACATTTTATCAAAGGGCGATAACTCTGTAATTAAAGGATTGCAGGCCCTGACTTTGGTAAACACATCTTGTCTTAATATGACCAATGTGTGTACAAAGTTTCACGATCCTAGTTCAAATGCATGTAAAGATAAGCTCCGGAAACGAAATTTTAAGAAAGGTATTATGTCGGCGTAACTGATGAATAACTGTTGACAAAATTATACTCCGGACACGAAAAGGACAATAGACGGGAAAGGTGGCGACTATGTGCATCCCCAAAAATTCGAGGGGCATAATAAATAAATTTCCATTTGATAGCGATACATTTAAAAAAAAAAAACAAAAAAACCAAAAACCAAAAATTAAAAATGAATTGTTTTATTATCTCCGTAGAACAGCGGGGAATTCATTTGAATTGTTATATTGTTGATATAACTACAACAAAATATTTACAAAAGCACAAAATTAAATCCATATTTTATAATTATTTGTAAATGCATATAAAATGTTACATTAAATCTAGTTTTCTTACATTTAAAACTTTAGATTAAGAGATGTAAGCAAACATCGTACATTCACAACCTGTGTAAGTAACGATAAGGCAGTATATACTTACACAAGCCTTACGTAAATATTAACAAATCACACATTGGGGTTGGTAAGCTGCCAATGAAGATTATACAATGCAGGTATATGATTTCTTAGATTACAGAGAAATCTCATCGTACAGTTAAGATATCATGAGCAACTAGACGATAGACGCAGAAAATAAATCTTTGGATCAACACTTCTTATAACTTTTAGTGTTTTTGTTTCTCATGAAAAGTGAGGTCAGCAATCACATCGACTTACAGTTGGGTTTTTTTCTTGAGAGCTTGGTCAGCACTCCCACCAAGTTTTGGTGTTTTTGTTTATCATCTAGGGCTTGATCAGCACTCCCACCAGCTTTTGGTGTTTTTGTTTATCATCCAGGGCTTGGTCCGCACTCCCACCACTTTTTAGTGCTTTTGGTTTTCATTTAGGGCTGGGTCAGCACTCCAATCAACTTGCTCTCAATGTTTAACGCCACTGATCTTGTCAACTGGAATGCAGTATATGAGGAGATGGAGAAGATTGGACTAAAGGACGTAGTGGACATCATGAAGGGACTTCTCGCCACTAAGTATACTTATACTTACATACTATTACCTTTAGTTACGACACATTTTTACTAAAGTAGACTAAACACTGAGGTATTAAACTTCGATAAGTGAAAATGACGTGTAATGACGTCATAAAATGATAAATGGTTACATTTTCAAAGTTTAACAAGGTAAAACTACCATTATGAGCTTAGACGTCCGAGGCAATTGACAAAGATTTTTGTAATGTTTGTTTAACAGATTATAATTTTCGATATAAAAGAGTTGGGATTGAATAAAAAATTAACCATACTCGCGAAAAAATGTGTTGATTATAGTATACTTCGTTCCTGTGTCAGGATAAGGTGACACTACACCTGTAGGGACGGCGAGGATAGGAAGATTGTTATTAATTTGAAGTGCTATGCACAAACACTAGAACCAGTAAAACACAATCCTTTAACCTTTATTTATAAAGAGTCTTGGAAAAGTAGAAAACTCTATGACTAGCTAGTAAATAAAACTCATATGAAATGGAAATGAATGTTTCTGATAACCAAATAATATTCCATCATTTATTAATTAAAAAAAATGTCTAAATGGGCGATGTTCTCACTCCATATCTCTTTAGTGAGAAGTTTATAATTGAAACAATGTGATTTTCCAGCAGTCACATTTACGCGAGGTGTTTTACACAATTTATGTAATGAATTTCACTAAACATAAATCAGATCAGTTATAAATGACGAAACCTTAACCGTGTGATCAATCACCCTTTTTCTGTTGATGACTACCTTTCTGTATGTTTCACGTTTAACCACAATAAAAAAATGCATACTACTTCTACCGACTGGTTATGTGATAGACATAATCGAAACTAAATTTGGCGAAAAATATTGTATTTTGTATTATTTGGGGAAATGAAATGATGAGGTGTCTTAGTTTGCTTTTTTGCCATGCCATTTTCCAGATATAGATAACACGCATATTTGGTTATCCAGAGCTTTATTTACTTACAATGCTACATTTCATTTTGACATCGAACTCAAATATAATATCGTATTGGTGAATCATGATGGACGATATGATATTACACAAAAAATCTTTTTCAGATCTATTTACGAAAGCGTATTCCGGATACCTCCAGATTTTGATGATACGTCTGTGAATCTTGGCCTGGGGTCATTGTTGAAGGAAGCTATTGTAGATTTCCCACAATCCAATGCATTGTGGCAGTCCCGGAACACAAATCTGTCATCCGTATTCAGCGCTATCAAACACTATGCCTACCGACCTCTGTCAGGAAACAAGCGGGTGGATACTATAGACACGAGGACTTACGTCTACATGCGTAGATTCCTAGAACTTGCAAAGTCAAAAAATGAAGACGTAGCTTTAGTAACAACATGGGTATTCCGTTTTCATTATCTTTCCAAAACGTCTGCCATATTGTAATCAGTTTGTCCATCTATTTGTCTCTTTTATTTTGGTTTTATCGCAAAATTCTGAAGGGCCAATTGCACGCTATCCAGTGCTTCCTCGAAGAAAGATCCTGAGGTCGACAGGCAATGTTACTATTACTGTAATGGAAATACGTTTGTGTAAAGCTAAATTTGTCACAACCAGTTCACATAATTTGGATACCAATTCACATGTATGTAATTTCCCATCAAGGTTAATGATATTTTGGTTTATGAAATATTGTTTTCATTCGAAGTATATAATCATTACGTCTTAATCTATGTGCCCTTCTAAAAGTTTGAACATAACTCATTGCGGGGCCCTTTCTGGTGTGTCAATTTTCGAAGTTTTCGAGACGCCACACTTTTGAACTTACAGCAGCTTACTTCTAGCGGTTGATTACTTTGTATCACTTAATGTGATAAATCTTAGCAGTTGTGATCTGAGTTATGATATCAGATAACACCTCGCAATATATATGGGGAGATATTTCTCCAAGATATTATTCCATTTATAATTTGATGTAATCAGAATTGCCAAAGAACAATAAAAAAGATGTACATTGTTGCTTTTATTGTACTTTGAACGTTGAAGATGAGATTTATTTGTATACTAACTTCAGGTACAAGATCTGGAGGATATAAAGACCCAATACTACACGGGCGTGGTTACCCCGGGTAACGTAAACAACGTTGACATAACCGTAGCGGCCAACGCCTTATTCGGTATCACCAACAGTATACTTACGGGTCTTGTCACGGCGGAGGTCCTGGAGGACCCGGAAATGCAGGTGACATGTCATGAAAAATACGTGTCACAATTGAATATGTTGAAATAATAGCAATCTAAGTTTATGTTATTGATAATTTTCATTTATGTCACCTTTCATGACACCAACAAATACTGTAAGGATGTTACACTTTCATTTGAATGGAATTTTGTTAGATTTCGTATGAGCGCAAGGGTGTTAAATGAAATAACCCCTTCCTGACATATCTAGCAACACAAACTTGTCCAGCGGTGGTATACTCGAGAGAAGGACATGTTGTTTTCAATTAATGAAACGCACGATATTCAGAATTTGTTTTGTTTTCTTCAAACTTCTAGCAAATCTACCTGAACACGACATCGATGATAGCCTTTCAGATCAACACCAACTTCTCTAGCCGTCCTGACCTAGCACTGACCTACTATCCATCAGCTATAGAGTTTTATTGGTTCGTGGCCAGAACATACAGTCAGCTTCAAAGACGATACACATATAATGGTCTTCCTCACCACGTGAGTATCTGTAACAGTCTTCATCAACAGGAAAATATATATAACGGTCTTCACATTCATTTAAATATCTATAACGGTTTTCACTATCATTTAAATGTCTATATCGATCTTCACTATCATTTAAATATCTATAACGGTCTCCTCTATCATTTAAATACCTATAACGGTCTTCACTATTATTTAAATATGTATAACGGGCTTCACTATCATTTAAATATGTATAACGGGCTTCACATTCATTTAAATATCTTTAACTATCTTCACTATCATTTAAATGTCTATAACGATCTTCACTATCATTTAAATATCTCTAACGATTTTCACTATCATTTAAATATCTATAACGGTCTTCACTATCATTTAAATATCTGTAACGGTCTTCACAATCATTTAAATATCTCTAACGGTCTTCACTATCATTTAAATATCTATAACGGTCTCCTCTATCATTTAAATACCTATAACGGTCTTCACTATCATCTAAATATCTGTAATGGTCTTTGTCATCACGTAAATATCTATAATTAATTATCAGTGAATATTTTAAGGAGTGTTTCCTTGGAAGTCATCAATGCTAAGATATAATGACGTTTGCTTTCCCGTGAAAATATGCATGAATTCAATTTTTATAGGGAAAAGGCAGTTTAGAATATTGGATTCAACAGTTTATAGGCAAACAATTACATGATATTTAAGTTCTTATGCAACTTATGGGAGGCCTAAGGCACACTAACAAGTTTGAAATAAGGACATTATCACTATATATATGTGACCCTATGAATAGTTTCAAAAAGTTTTAGATAATCAAGATTTCTTTCAACGTCATCATTTCCAACACTTACAAATGTACTGGTGTATTATCAAATTCGATATGACATTTATTTCCTTTCGTTTTACAGACAATGAAAGCGGCGATGGATATTCTCGGAGACGTACTGAGAAACAACGCTACAACAATAATGCTTAAGGAAGCTATACCACAAGGAACTGATATGGTGTATTATGATGATTTTCTCGGAGATGGGGATATCGACGCTGACGGCAAACCAGTGGTTTGTACATTACTAGGTTATTTAAAACATACACATTAAGACTGAAAATTGATTTTGCATCATGGCTTCCAGTTAACTAACATTTAATCCGTATTCTATTTAAGGTTGTGTAGATACGTTCTAAATCAACAGGCAATACTATGACGTCAGTCTGGCGTCATGTTGATCTACGTTATTTAAACGCAATGCAATCCGCATAAGTAAGCATTCTTTGTAGCTTAACGTCAATCATTCAGAAAGAAGTTATTTGCGGGAAACATTTCCTATAAATAGATGTACAAGTAAACACCATTTCGTACATTGCTATATATAACTTCTTAGTAATCTTCAGATTGTATTTATTGTCCATTTGACTACAACTGTGGGGAAAAATAATCCAAATTTTTCTGACGTTCTATCGAAAATACACATCAGACTGGAGTCAATGAATACCATAACTTCTGTCCAACAAAATGTGATGGAAAAATCGGCATTCAAGCGATAGTTGTGTTATCAGATGTATGCTGCACTGGGATAAAAGAGACCACGCTATTTTAATTCTATGTCACCCAAATTGTATTCGTATTGACAATCAATTTTGACGATTGTTAAAAGGTTGACATAACCCAACGAAGTCTCTCACAATTGCCTCTCAAAACGTTCAGAAAAGCAATTTCATAAGGATGACATAAAAAGATATAGTATGGATAGTATTGTCTGAGCTTTGTCCTATAAATATTTCAATCAAGAAACTACATTATAAAGCACTCTTCTATGTGATTGTACAAAGACACACAAGTGAATAACACCTTTTCATAATTTAGAGCGAGATACAGTAGCATCCTTCTAGGACTCGTCAGTAGTGCTAAGGGCCTAGAATTTGAAGCCTAGGAGGCGACTAAAGAAAATACAAAATGATCAAAAGGAAAGTCAAAATCTAGACGGGGAGGTGCAGCAGCCCCATAGTCGTATTAATTTCGTAATTTCCATACACCAGATAATTTTAGAATAGGGTCAAGTACCTGTGTATTTTCTGAACCGTGTTCACTATTCCTGTGAATTTAAACGTGGCACACATATATCTATAGAAGCGCCAAGGACCAATCAAACGGCCGAATCTCTCTTGAACGATCTAAATGTAAATTGACAACCATATCAACTTTCTTGTTTTCTTCGTCAAGAAGAAACCATCGGTTATAGATAATTTTCCTGCCAAAATTGGACAACGATATGATTATACTGACAACGGCAACTTCTGTTGGTCAGTGCCGACTGTATTTGATAAAACTATTTGGAAATAGTCTAAATTCTTTAAAACTGTGTGGGTACGATACTTCACATTTTGGTTTAGTGGCGGAGTTTGACAACACCTACTCATGCTTTTCATCAATGATGATTATACATTTACATATTTCTAACAAATCTTGTACTGTTTTCCCCATCTTATATGAATAATGCCATACTGCATTTTTCATGTGTGTCACCATTATGACTATGTATAAATATGTTTGCAAAATGCATTAAAAGTCATCATACGGTTGACCATATTCATTCACATCATTCTTGGAGGATGCATAAAGTTATTTGGAAATGTTTTAAATCCTTGTAAACTATATGGGTTACTTTAGTGCTGTCATGTAGCTACCCTATATTTACAGTAACGTTTTAACGTTAAATTGACTTTTGTTACAATTGTCGTTAAAATCCATTCCTCTCTTCGATAAATCTACATTTTCTGTATTATATATAATCTTCCTTCACAGAAATACGGCGAGGACCGCTTGTTTACAACAGCAATGGCCGCGAATGCACTCATAACAATCTGGACATCTTTTGAGGAAAAATCAGGAACATTGATCTGGAACCAGAGTGAGTTTAAGTGGCTGAGGTGCTGAGGAGCATTAGACGACAAAGTTGAATATCTTAAGTTTCGTTTTATAACATTTTAACATCTACGATACATTGGTAGTCCAGATCGTTCCACTGATATTATATATGTGGTGTATCTATAGGTGCAAACACTCACACAGTTAAGTCAAAGACGGTATTCCCTGTTTGAATCCGGGCATGAAAGTTCTTCATTGTAATTTAAACACAGACAGACATTTATCTATATAATTAAACCTTAAACTTACTTACCACGATGATAGCCCGCTACTGTACTTTCGTCCATCATTATTTGAGTCATATCTCAAAACATTACGTCAGTGACACTGATTATCAGATTAGTTTTAATATTTTAATTTTAAGCAGGTTTTAACAATTAAGAAAGGCCGAGTTCAAAACTTTATAACTGAAATCAACAATTTCATCATTCTGGTACATGGTAAACTGTCCTATTCTTTATGTTTTCATTAGATATCAAGGTAATTAGTCGATGAATGTACACTACAAAGATAGTCAGACTTATAAATGCTTTGTTACACAAAACATAACATAATATAATTAAAAGCGAGATTCAAATACATGAAGTGGTGATAATCAGTGTTCCTTTATCACGTCTCATGACCTTTGCAATGTCATTGTTGAAATTAACGTCGTTGGTTACTGACGTCACACACCTTAGTTATCGTAATCAGACATACAAGTTACTGAGTAATCTGGCTACAAAGTAATAATTAATACCGTTTTCCAAATAAATTAACATCATTTATGGGTATGTAATGGAACATTGTTGCAACTAGGTACTCTCTTCATATCATAAAGTTTCTTTTCAGCTACGCCAAAAGAGGTTAAAGACGTCGTAACACGTGCTGTGAAGTTCCTGGATACGTACATATTGTCTGGAGAGTATAAACCTTGGAATGCTTTCTTTTCTGGCTCCGTCAAAGGATCAGGGGTAAGTGGTGTAGACTATTAATATAATTGTATTTGTTCTAGTGTGTATGTCAGAATATTTCTATATTGTTATTATTTGTTACAGCTTTTTCAATGTTGTTATTTTGTTATTGTGTTTTACAGCTATTTCAATATTGTTATTTTTTACAATAATTTCACTTCAGGGTGTATCACCAGAAAAAATATTATCTCACTTAATTACAGTATCAACTGTATCATCAACATATATAAAGAAATAAAAAAAATCCCTTAAAACTGATACTATAATATGATGGGCGTTGTCGTTTTTTGTTATAGTACCATGGAGTTTTGAAAGGAAGGTTCAGGACAATTTTTTTCTCATCGTTTGAAATAAAATAAATTTTCATCTATTGAGGCATGATGTATATGTAATCAGTCATACCTTTTACATGCATTATTCACTGTTTTTTCTTCATTTTAAGTGAATATTTCATAACAAGGATCCTAGATCTTCACTGAAGTTGGATTAAAATAAATATGTGTAAATAAATAGCATATTATCTTTTATTTTTCTTCCGTTTCTTAGACGTCTTGGTCAGAGTATCCAGCGAATCGGCATGAATATTTCAATGGGACCAAGGTTCTTCCAGATCATCATTACCATTCTGCTACCATCCGAGGAATGCAAGGGGTTCCGAATGAAACCTGGTACAAACAAGAAGAGGCTACAATGAGATCTCCTATCGACTTCCCTGGATTTAACAATCAGAATAGATACTTTCCGTTCTGGTCCTCAGAGCCGTACACATACGCTGTTACGATGTTAGCCCTGTCCACCTTCAGCAATATTGTGTGAACCATGTTAATTATCATCACATATATCTACGTTTCTTTTGTAATGGTATAAAATAAAAACACAAAAAACTTCTTCTATGGATATTTATGAGTTTCTATGATATATTGAAGATTGGATTGGACTGTACGTTATATACGATTTTTTTCATTGTCTTCAAGGATATTAAGAACATATCGAATACAACACAAAGTTAGTGTCATTATGTCAACAATTTTATTTTTCAGGACACACTGCCAAATTAACAATACATAAAGATATAATAACATTACAAACATGTTAAAACTACAAAAATATGAAAAGAAATATTTACAAACTGAAAAAAGCATTCCAAAATTACAAGAGAAATTACTTATTTTTATGATTGAAGTGGATCCATTTATCTATATTAAAATAATATAATATAGAAATGTATTCTCCCTAAGTCCTAAGATATGTATAATGTTCACAAGAGTTAGTTCTCCTGACTCAATAATATATTTATAATTGTATAAAAAATCTAACGTGCTCAGCCTATACCCCTCGGTACACATTTAAATTCCAGGCTCACGACTATTTGGTTCGCAGTTCGTAACAATATAATTTCGTATACCAGCTTTTGTAAGAAAAGAAATAGATACATTGTGAAATACTGATACATTTTCTTTACGTCTACAATCATTTGAAGTCAATCTTTTTTGACCTAAATGAGGCATAATGGTCTGTGCAAGAAGCAAAATTCATATTTTCCAAATCCTGGCCGTCTTAAGATATTCTAATGAGATTTTTTCGTCGACAGTCTATTTCTGAGGTATATCCGAGTCCTCTTCGGTCAAGAAAACGCTCTCTCATAACCTGAATACAAAGAATAGGTTAGTCATTTATAGATTAAAATTCATATTTCATTAATATCAAAACAAAAACCTGATACTTTTACATACTTGTATTTTTTTACATGAAACATTGTATACTCTCGTGTGATTGTCAAATACTCTACCATTCTGTTCAGAGTCCCAGTACAACTGTACAACAACTCGTATCTTTGCTCCCAAATTTATTTTATCATGAACACCATTGCAAAAAAGTTAAGGGCTGCGTAATATCTGGATAATACTATCAATCACTATTGTTTTTTCCTATCGGTGTCGGCGATGACAACGGGATGAATTCCATTCTCGGCGATTGACTAACTGATAATGAATAGTTAAGTAAACCAAATATGGTTAAAAACGACATCTACTTACAATGTATCTATGTTATCATGGAAAGGCTGACAGAACATTCAGTGAATATGTTTTTAAATTATGAAAATTAACATGCATTTTATTACGATAGTTTTCAAAAATCTAGCTGCAGCAGACATAACTGTATGGATTTCCTTTAAATTGAATAAAAACTTTTGTATCATAACTATGTCACTTAATGTTAGCTTTTTCCTGTCATGTAATGTCAAGAAATATGTGTATAATCCAAAATACAAATTAGTGTGAAGGAAGATGTACATTAAGTGGCTGTATCGGTGTGTAAGGACCTACGCTGGGTAGTCTGTATCAGTGTGTATACGACCTGTGCTGGGTAGTCTGTATCGATGTGAATAGGACGTGTGCTGTGTAGTCTGTTTCGGTGTGTATAGGACCTGTGCTGGATAGTCTGTATCAGTGTATATAGGACCTGTACTGGGTAGTCTGTATCGATGTGAATAGGACGTGTGCTGTGTAGTCTGTTTCGGTGTGTATAGGACCTGTGCTGGATAGTCTGTATCAGTGTATATAGGACCTGTACTGGGTAGTCTGTATCGATGTGAATAGGACGTGTGCTGTGTAGTCTGTATCAGTGTATATAGGACCTGTACTGGGTAGTCTGTATCAGTGTGTATAGGACCTGTGCTGGGTAGTCTGTATCGCTGTGTATAGGACGTGTGCTGGGTAGTCTGTATCGGTGTGTATAGGACCTGTGCTGGGTAGTCTGTATCAGTGTATATAGGACCTGTGCTGGGTAGTCTGTATCAGTGTGTATAGGACCTGTGCTGGGTAGTCTGTATCGGTGTGTATAGGACCTGTGCTGGGTAGTCTGTATCAGTGTGTATAGGACCTGTGCTGGGTAGTCTGTATCATTGTGTATAGGACCTGTGCTGGGTAGTCTGTATCAGTGTGTATAGGACCTGTGCTGGGTAGTCTGTATCGCTGTGTATAGGACGTGTGCTGGGTAGTCTGTATCGGTGTGTATAGGACCTGTGCTGAGTAGTCTGTATCATTGTGTATAGGACCTGTATTTGGTAGTCTGTATCATTGTGTATAGGACGTGTGCTTTGTAGTCTGTATCAGTGTGTATAGGACCTGTGCTGGGTAGTCTGTATCGATGTGAATAGGACGTGTGTTGTGTAGTCTGTATCATTGTGTATAGGACGTGTGCTTTGTAGTCTGTATCAGTGTGTATAGGACCTGTGCTGGGTAGTCTGTATCGATGTGAATAGGACGTGTGCTGTGTAGTCTGTATCAGTGTGTATAGGACCTGTGCTGGGTAGTCTGTATCGCTGTGTATAGGACGGGTGCTGAGTAGTCTGTATCATTGTGTATAGGACCTGTATTTGGTAGTCTGTATCATTGTGTATAGGACGTGTGCTTTGTAGTCTGTATCAGTGTGTATAGGACCTGTGCTGGGTAGTCTGTATCGGTGTGTATAAGACGTATGCTCGGTAGTCTGTATCGGTGTGTATAGGACCTGTGCTGGGTAGTCTGTATCAGTGTGTATAGGACCTGTGCTGGGTAGTCTGTATCAGTGTGTATAGGACCTGTGCTGGGTAGTCTGTATCAGTGTGTATAGGACCTGTGCTGGGTAGTCTGTATCAGTGTGTATAGGACCTGTGCTGTGTAGTCTGTATCGATGTGAATAGGACCTGTGCTGGGTAGTCTGTATTGGTGTGTATAGGACGTGTGCTGGGTAGTCTGTATAAGTGTGTATAGGACCTGTGCTGTGTAGTCTGTATCGGTGTGTATATGACCTGTGCTGGGTAGTCTGTATCATTGTGTATAGGACCTGTGCTGGGTAGTCTGTATAAGTGTGTATAGGACCTGTGCTGGGTAATTTGTATCGATGTGTAGAAGACGTGTGCTGGGTGGTCTGTATCGGTGTGTATAAGACGTATGCTCGGTAGTCAGTATCGGTGTGTAAGGACCTGTGCTGGGTAGTCTGTATCAGTGTGTATAAGACCTGTGCTGTGTAGTCTGTGTCGGTGTGTAAAGGGCGTGTGCTGGATAGTCTGTATCGGTGTGTATAGGATCTGTGCTGGGTAGTCTGTATCAGTGTGTATAGGACGTGTGCTGGGTAGTCTGTATTGGTGTGTATAGGATCTGTGCTGGGTAGTCTGTATCAGTGTGTATAGGACGTGTGCTGGGTAGTCTGTATCGGTGTGTATAGGACCTGTGCTGGGTAGTCTGTGTCGGTGTGTATAGGATCTGTGCTGGGTAGTCTGTATCAGTGTGTATAGGACGTGTGCTGGGTAGTCTCTATCAGTGTGTATAGGACCTGTGCTGGGTAGCCTGTATCAGTGTGTATAGGACCTGTGCTGGGTAATTTGTATCGATGTGTAGAAGACGTGTATTGGGTGGTTTGTATCGGTGTGTATAAGACGTGTGCTCGGTAGTCAGTATCGTTGTGTAAGGACCTGTGCTGGGTAGTCTGTATCAGTGTGTATAAGACCTGTGCTGTGTAGTCTGTGTCGGTGTGTAAAGGGCGTGTGCTGGATAGTCTGTATCAGTGTGTATAGGACGTGTGCTGGGTAGTCTGTATTGGTGTGTATAGGATCTGTGCTGGGTAGTCTGTATCAGTGTGTATAGGACGTGTGCTGGGTAGTCTGTATCGGTGTGTATAGGACCTGTGCTGGGTAGTCTGTGTCGGTGTGTATAGGATCTGTGCTGGGTAGTCTGTATCAGTGTGTATAGGACGTGTGCTGGGTAGTCTCTATCAGTGTGTATAGGACCTGTGCTGGGTAGCCTGTATCAGTGTGTTTAAGACTTGTGCTGGCTAGAAAACGATGAAATGGAAAGGTGGTGTTTTTTTCAGCAGCACAATATTGAAAAGCAACATTAATGGTGATTACTTCAATAGAACTAAACCTTGATGAAAATGAAATTGTATTTGCTTCGTTTTAATTTGTCATTCATGTAAATATTAGAAATGCGAACGAACTTACGGCAGAAATAGGGAGATGTTTTGTAAAAATGCTTATTCTTCGACATTTTGTAATGATTTGTCACATTGAAGACCCACAAATCTTTATTTAGAAACTGCGTTCCTTTTGACAATGGGTCCAAGTGTGAGCTGATCATGACATGCATGTAAGATTACGTTTACTTACACAAACATATTTACAATAATGCATTACTGCTGCTAAAAATGTAATATTTTCGTGTATTTTGTCCCAGCCGCTCTATGGGATTTCGTCATGCATGTTGCGTAGAATTTAAATTAGGTGTATTGACGCTGCGTAGAATTCAAATCATGTGTGTTAATGCTGTGTTGGGGTTTAATTCCTGGGTGTTGGTGCTTTGTTGGCTTTAATTCATATCTGTTGATGCTGTGTTGGAATTTAATTCCTTTGTGTGTTGATGCTGTGTTGGGGTTTAATTCCTGTGTGTTGATGCTGTGTTGGGGTTTAATTCCTGTGTGTTGATGTTTTGTTGGGGTGTAATTCCTGTGTGTTGATGCTGTGTTGGGGTTTAATTCCTGTGTGTTGATGCTGTGTTGGGGTTTAATTCCTGTGTGTTGATGCTGTGTTGGGGTTTAATTCCTGTGTGTTGATGCTGTGTTGGGGTTTAATTCCTGTGTGTTGATGTTGTGTTGGGGTTTAATTCCTGTGTGTTGATGCTGTGTTGGGGTTTAATTTCTGTGTGTTGATGTTGTGTTGGGGTTTAAATCCTGTGTGTTGATGTTGTGTTGGGGTTTAATTCCTGTGTTGTGGTTTAATTCCTTTGTGTTGATGCTGTGTTGGGGTTTACTTACTGTTTGTTGATGTTGCTTTGCGATTTGGCCAGGTTTGCAGACGTCTTTTCCCCCCAGTATGATTGTATACCCTGTGTTGGATTTTCCCGTCAGTGTGCTGATATTGTATCATGCGTTTCATGCCAATTGCAAAGTGTAGTGTTGTTACCTTTGGATTTTGTCAGAGTTTTTTAAACATGGTTGTATTTGTAATTTCACGTGTAATTAACAATGCTGTTTACTAATGTCCATGATGTTTTGTTCTTGTATGCAAACGCTAATATCTGCTCTGTCCTGTTATTCCACAAACACATAGAATATAATTTCATATTACACAACCATATGTATACTGAAGTCGAAAACAGTGTGACGAGATGGTATACAGATTATAGACCACAATATTTTCGACCTTAGTTGACATAGGTTTATAGTGCAATTGTAAACATTAGTCGATTCCTGACCATCTCGTGCACTTCGTACGTCAGTGCTAGTACGTTCCACACTGGTCATTTGGTCATGAAGGTGGCCGTGAAGTCATCAAAATATTACACTTTAATCTGATACTGGTTGTGCAGAAAGAACTTCTATTTTATTGACATTACCAACCTGAAGAGAATGTTCCGAAATATTACTCAAACATATTGTGTGTTAGTGTAGATATGAAAAAAGTATTTATCTCCACATTTGATAAATATATGCATAAGAACACAATGAAATGAGCCCAGTTACGAAGCGTATACTGGTTATCATTTACACATATCTACATTAATATCTTTTAGAAAATTCATCTGAAAAGACTAGAATTCGTGTTCTTCATATTAATATGTAGAGTTTCCAGCATTAAATTTGATATTTACTTATAAATAAACTCACATATATAACAATCATAAATCAACATTTAAAAATAGTTTTTCTCTATCTGCTGAAGCTGCGGTGAATATTACGTCACTATAGAAATTATAGAAACTGTCAGCCAATCACAATTTGTATATTACATCGGAAAGATAAGGTATTAAGGCCAAATTGATCGCATTTCTCACCTGAGTTGAGCTGTGGCGCGCTCCATGTAATACACACGAAAACTGAATAAGCAGCATGAAGCGTACTGCGGTAGTGCTACTTTCTATTCTGATAGGGTGTTTTCAGGTAGGTTAACACAGTTCTTCTCTCAGTATGCCATTCATTAACGCATTATTAGCTTTATTGTATGATAAATGCATCGTTTATTACATTTCTGCTTTTGAAATGTAGGAATTTACAAATGAGATGCAAACTTATAGCATCACTACTGAATATAAATATACTCGTTCTTAATATTTTTGAGAAATAGATATTCTTTCATACTCGTTGAATATTAATTATATTAAACAGGAAACCATTAAATATTATCTATTGATCAACTTGCTAAACACTTACAGCATCATTGCAGTGACGATATGATAAATAGAATATCATCACATTAACTTTTCAAGTGATTATATAACTTTTGTTGTTTTGACAACCAGAGCGATGCTTTCTAATCACTGCATTGAAATTCGCCTGCCGATTTTCCTGTCCCGACACCAATGCATATCCAATATTTACGTTGTATATTTCTGTTTTTCTCTCATTTGGTATATAATATAGTTTTGTAACTGACTCAGATAACAGCGAAAAATGGTAAAGTTAAACGTAAAGCAGCTTACTCAAAATGGCGATGTCTTGTTGTCAAGCGTAACGTCAAATTATCTGCCATCAGAGAGCGCGATAATAATTACTGGACTCTTATGAAAAGCAGAATTCTATGTATGAATCGGCTTTTCTCAATTGGTTTTCCTTCAAAATGTAAAAAAGATGGTTTTCCTTAAAACAAAATACTTTACTCGTAAAAAATATGATATTAAACGGGTGATCATTCAATATTATATATGCTGTCATCAAACAAGCAATATATGAGACTTTAAAGCGCATTATAACTTTTTCAAACAAAAAATATCATCATTAAGCCCTAAAAAATCTTTACCATTACTTTAGTTAAAAGATTTATAGTGCATAATGCTGAAGTAATTTAAAGTACTAGTGACTCAATCTAACACCCCACCCAGCAGGAGTTTAAAGTTTTTGCCCTATCGTACCCCGCTCGGAAACCCCACCCAGCGGGATTTTAATATGATTAACCTATCGTTCCCCGCTCGGACACCCCACTTAACAGTTGAAAGTGATTACCGTATCGTTCACCGCGCGGGTACCCGATCCAACAGTTTAAAGTGGTGATTAACCTATCATTCCCCGCTCGGACACCACACTTAACAGTTGTAAGTGATTACCCTATCGTTCACCGCGCGGGTACCCGACCCAACAGTTTAAAGTGATTAACCTATCATTCCCCGCTCGGAAACCCCACCCAGCAGGATTTTAAAGTGATTAACCTATCGTTCCCCGCGCGGGTACCCGACCCAACAGTTTAAAGTGATTAACCTATCATTCCCCGCTCGTGAACCCCACCCAGCAGGATTTTAAAGTGATTAACCTATTGTTCCCCGCTCGGACACCCCACTTAACAGTTGTAAGTGATTACCCTATCGTTCACCGCGCGGGTACCCGACCCAACAGTTTAAAGTGATTAACCTATTATTCCCCGCTCGTGAACCCCACCCAGCAGGATTTTAAAGTGATTAACCTATTGTTCCCCGCTCGGACACCCCACTTAACAGTTGTAAGTGATTACCCTATCGTTCACCGCGCGGGTACCCGACCCAACAGTTTAAAGTGATTAACCTACCATTCCCCGCTCGGACACCCCACTTAACAGTTGAAAGTGATTACCTTATCGTTCACCGCGCGGGTACCCGACCCAACAGTTTAAAGTGATTAACCTATCCTTCCCCGCTCAGATACCCGATCCAACAGTTCTGTCTGTTGATACTGTGTTGGGGTTTAATTCCTTTGTTTTGATGTTGTGTTGAGGCTTAATTCCTGTGTGTTGATGCTGTGTCGGGGTTTAATTCATTTGTGTTGATGCTGTGTTGGGGTTTAATTCCTGTTTGTTGATGCTGTGTTGGGATTTGTCCTGGTTTGCAGACGTCTTGTTTTTACCCCAATGTGTTTGAATATCCTGTGTTGGATTTTTCGCTCAGTGTCCTGACATTGTATCGTGTGTTTCATGCTATGCCAATGGCAAAGTGTAGTGTTGTAACCTTTGGATTTTGTCAGAGTTTTTTAAACATGGTTGTATTTGTAATTTCACGTATTATTAACACTGTTGTTTACTAATGCCCATGATGTTTTGTTCTTGTATGCAAACGCTAATATCTGCTTTGTCCTGTCATTCCACAAACATATAGAATATAAGTTCGTATGGCACAACCATATGTACACTAAAGTCGCAAACAGTGTGACGAGATGGTATACAGATCATAGACCACAATTTTTTCGACCTATTTACATGGGTTTATAGTGCAATTGAAAATATTGGTCGATTCCTGGCAATCTCGTGCACTTCTTACGTTATTGCTAGTACGTTCCACACTGGTCATTTGGTCATGAAGGTGGCCGTGAAGTCATCAAAACATTACACTTTAATCTGATACTGGTTGTGCAGAAAGAACTTCTATTTTATTGACATTACCAACCTGAAGAGAATGTTCCGAAATATTACTCAAACATATTGTGTGTTAGTGTAGATATGAAAAAAGTATTTATCTCCACATTTGATAAATATATGCATAAGAACACAATGAAATGAGCCCAGTTACGAAGCGTATACTGGTTTCCATCTACACATATCTACATTAATATCTTTTAGAAAATTGATCTGAAAAGACTAGATTTCGTGTTCTTTATATTAAGATGTAGAGTTTCCAGCATTAAATTTGGTATTTACTTATAAATAAACTCACATATATAACAATCTTAAATCAACATTTGAAAATAGATTTTCTCTATCTGCAATTCAGTAACAATTATACATCTAAGGGTACATATATTCATATCTAAATTTCCTGTTAATTGATGAACCATTCGTTCATCACTTTACCTTATATAATTATCTCTATATGCAGTGTAATACAGTCAGATATTTCGACTATGAAGATGATATATTCATGCATGCTTGTATCTCCAGATTGACATGGAAACTTTTGTGAATATATTTTGGTATATACATTCACATCAGTATAATCAATGGCAGATATTTCTCTACATAAATTGTCATTCCTCGTTAGTATATATTATGTTGCTGTGGATAATGCGAGGTTTGGTTTCATGTACTTTACATGTAATGAAAACGTAAATATGATTGTGTTTATCACCAGACTTAGATCCGGTTTTGAAAACACTTGTAAGAAGCGCGTTATCAGACTGATATGAAATCTAGATGGGCGATATTTTCTCTCATAAATTTTTAATACAGTGAACCTGCGGTGAATATTACATCACCATAGAAATTATAGAAACTGTCAGCCAATCACATTTTGTATATTACATCGGAAAGATAAGGTATTAAGGCCAAATTGATCGCATTTCTCACCTGAATTGAGCTGTGGCGCGCTCCATGTAATACACACGTATATTGAATAAGCAGCATGAAGCGTACTGCGGTAGTGCTACTTTCTATTCTGATAGGGTGTTTTCAGGTAGGTAAACAAAGTATTCCATTCATTCACGCATCATTAGCTTTATTGTATAATAAATGTATCGTTTATTATATTCTGCTTTTGAAATATAGAAATTTACAAATGAGATACAAACTTATAGCATCACTACTGAATATGAATATATTCATTCGTTCTTAATACTTTCGAGAAATAGATATTCCTTCATACTCGTTGAATATTAATTATATTAAACTGGAAACCATTACATAATCTCTATTGATCAACTTGCTAAACACTTACAGCATCACTGCAGTGATGATATGATAAATATAATATCATTATATTAACTTTTCAAATGATAATATAAGTTTTGTTGTTTTGACAACCAGAGCAATGCTTTCTAATCACTGCATTGAAATTCGCCTGCCGATTTTCCTGTAATGACACCAATGCATATCCAACATTTACGTTGTATATTTCTGTTATTCTCTCATTTGGTATATAAAATAGTTTTTTAAGCGATTCAGATAACAGCGAAAAATGGTAAAGTAAAACGTAAAGCAGCTTACTCAAAATGGCGATGTCTTGTTGTCAAGCGTAACGTCAAATTATCTGCCATCAGAGAGCGCGATAATAATTACTGGACTTTTAAAAAAAAGCAGAATTTTGTTTGAATCGGCTTTTCTCAATTGTTTTCCCTTCAAAATGTAAAAAGACGATTTTCCTTAAAATCAAATACTTCACTTGTGAAAAATATGATATCAAACGGGCGATCATTCAATATTCTCTATGTTGTCATAAAACAAGCAATATAGGAGACTTTAAAGTGCATTATAGCGTTTTCAAGCAAAAAAATATCATCATTGAGCGCTAAAACTCTTTATCATTACTTTAGTTAAAAGATTTATAGGGCATAATGCTGAAGTAATTTGAAGTACTAGTAACTCAATCTAACACCCCACCCAGCAGGAGTTTAAAGTTTTTGCACTATCGTTCCCCGCTCGTGAACCCCACCCAGCGGGATTTTAATGTGATTAACCTATCGTTCCCCGCTCGGATACCCGACCCAACAGTTAAAAGTGATTACACTATCGTCCCCCGAGCGGACATCCCACCCAGCAGGATTCTCATTCCCCGCTCGGACACCTCACTCAACAGTTTAAAGTGATTACTCTATCATTCCCCGCTCGGACCTCCCACCCAGCTGGAGTTTAAAGTAATTACCCTATCGTTCCCCACTCGGACACCTCACTCAACAGTTTAAGGACACCTCACTCAACAGTTTAAAGTAACCCTATCGTTCCCCGAGCGGACTCCCCACTCAGCAGGATTTTAAAGTGAGTACACTCTCATTCCCCGCTCGGACACCTCACTCAACAGTTGAAAGTAACTCTATCGTTCTCCGATCTTCTGGTCCTACGGGGGCCCCTATCACGCATGAATCCTTCAGACCAATTTCGGACAAAGTTAATCATTCCTACAGAAGAAGAATTTGAAAGAACTTACTTCATTTCCCTTTCTTCCACAAAGATGCTTCAGACCAAATTTGGTCACGTAGTTTCTTTATGACCAGTAGTATTTTAGATAGGATATGATTGTATAGTACAACCCTCTTTTTTTGTTTAGGTTGTAAGCATGCTGCCGGTTTTAAACGAAGACTTCCTGGAAATATTGGAACGTAAGTTTATAATTATTTTTCGTAATTTCTGGTGATGAAACAGCACCAGACGTTAGTAAACCAATGCGTTTGAACGTTAACAAGATATAAGTAATTACTATTCTGTATTGTAATGGTGTCACAAGTTAATTAACTGTTGTGTGATAACATGGTGTCTGTAGTTACTGAACTTTTGTGTATTGTAATGGTGTCACAAGTCAATTAACTGTTGTGTGATAACATGGTGTCTGTAGTTAGTGAACATTTGTGTATTGTAATGGTGTCACAAGTTAATTAACTGTTGTGTGATAACATGGTGTCTGTAGTTAGTGAACTTTTGTGTATTGTAATGGTGTCACAAGTTAATTAACAGTTGTGTGATATCATGTTGTCTGTAGTTAGTGAACTTTTGTGTATTGTAATGGTGTCACAAGTTAATTAACTGTTGTGTGATTACATGTTGTCTGTAGTTAGTGAACTTTTGTGTATTGTAATGGCGTTACAAGTTAACTGTTGTGTGATAACATGGTGTCTGTAGTTAGTTAACTTTTGTGTATTGTAATGGTGTCACAAGTTAATTAACTGTTGTGTGATATCATGTTGTCTGTTTTGTGTAGTTAGTGAACTTTTGTGTATTGTTATGGTGTCACAAGTTAATTAACAGTTGTGTGATTACATGTTGTGTGATATCTGTAGTTAGTGAACTTTTGTGTATTGTAATGGTGTTTAATTAACTGTTGTGTGAGTTAACTGTTGTGTGATAACATGGTGTCTGTAGTTAGTTAACTTTTGTGTATTGTAATGGTGTCACAAGTTAATTAACTGTTGTGTGATATCATGTTGTCTGTAGTTAGTGAACTTTTGTGTATTGTTATGGTGTCACAAGTTAATTAACAGTTGTGTGATTACATGTTGTCTGTAGTTAGTGAACTTTTGTGTATTGTAATGGTGTTACTAGTTAACTGTTGTGTGATAACATGGTGTCTGTAGTTAGTGAACTTTTGTGTATTGTAATGGTGTCACAAGTTAATTAACTGTTGTGTGATAACATGGTGTCTGTAGTTAGTGAACTTTTGTGTATTGTAATGGTGTCACAAATTAATTAATTGTTGTGTGATAACATGGTGTGTGTAGTTAGTGAACTTTTGTGTATTGTAATGGTGTCACAGGTTAATTAAATGTTGTGTGATAATATGGTGTCTGTAGTTCGTGAATTTTTGTGTATTGTAATGGTGTCACAAGTTAATTAACTGTTGTGTGATAACATGGTGTCAGTAGTTAGTTAACTGTTGTGTGGTTTGATGGTGTCAGAAGTTAGTTAAATGTTGTTCGGTGTAATGGTGTTAGAAGTTAAAGTAACTAATGTGTGAGGAGGTGTCTTTAGTTAGTGAACTGTTTAGTGTTGTAATGGTGTCAGAGGTTAGTAATTTATTGTATGTAAACATGCTGACAATAATTAGTGAACTATTATGAGATAACATGTTGTCATTAGTTGTGTGATTAGGTGTCTGTAGTTAGTTAACTATTGTGTGTTTTAATGGTGTCATAATTCTAGTATATACATATATTGACAGGCGAACTGGATCAAATATTGGAAAAAAGAAGCCATCATAATGATTCTTTGTCATCATCATCATCATCATCATCAGAGGAGGAGGAGGAGGATTATTTAGGGAGTTCGACATCAGGATTTCCTTATATTAAAGGTCCAGAGAGTTTCACGGACAGGATCGCCATTGTTGGGGCGGGGCCGTCTGGTGTGCACATGGCACTGAAACTTAAGGTACATCATGGACGCATAATCCGTTCCACAAGGGTACTGGTGGGAATTGTAGAAGGCTAACTTCACATCAATTTATTTATCTTTAAACTACCATAATGGATAATGTGCACTCAACTATCGACTGATCAAACATTTCTTTAAGGCCACTTCGCATCCATCAGGCGTGTGAATAAGCCCATTCATCACGATCTAGTATATCAATTTTAGGTGTTTTTAATAAAGATGTCAGGTAAACAAACTAAAATCAAGAAACAGATCCTTTTAAAAAAAACCTTTCAACTTCGGTAGAGAAATATTGGGGAATATCTTTAATGCGTAAAATGAATGATCAGCTGAATATTTATCGTGTTTTCTAAAAATGAAGAAATGTTATCATCCGTGTCATGATTAACATTATTCATGTTAAAGTTATACTCACGAAAATTACTTGACAACTGAAGCGTATTGAAATCGTAAAAATTATTACCTGAATCAACACATCAACTACTCACCACAAAATATAGTCTGTTCACAAAATGACATCTTAAGCCTTTAACCTATCAGTATAAGTACTTATATTCTTGTTATGATAAACCTCGGGGATCCGGTTGTGTCTACCACTTAAAGATTGTACAAAACATACACATGTCAACATTGATCAAGAAATGGGTCGTTTCAATGAGGTTTTGGACTATTTATAATTTACTGATGTTAGCAAGACACCTTGAAACTTAAAATACGTACACCTGTATTATTTGACTGTGAGGTCTCTAGTGACTACCTGTAGTTTATGGTGTATAATGGGGAACAGACTTTGACGTCAGAGATTAAACAAATTTTCGAAAATTCTATTTACATCATTTTTTTGCTAATATCTTATCAGTCATTTATGACTGAAAATAATAATAACTAAAATGAAAGGTTCTTTAGCTATATATACACTCAGATATATTCCATTGGGATTAATCTTTCCTCTTGACAACAGCTAGTTGAATAGTAACCTTTGAACTAGTAGCAGAACTAGCTAGTAGGAACAACACCATCCCTTGATACGTCACAATGCACTTTTTGATGAAGGAACTATTTCTACTTCATGTTATGTGCTAAAATAGCAAGGAAATTCATTTTTACCATCTTTAAATCTTTAATTGCCCATGTTTAACGAAGATTTAATAGACACTCTTACGTATATTACATTTTCATGTGAAATTTTATTGTGTTGTATATAGCGAGTACTTCATGAACTGTCGTTTAAAGATTTTCACCAAGTAATCATAGGCGCTGCTGCAAAAACCGTTCCGTGTCGAAATGAATTAACCAAACGTGAATGTATGTTCTCTGATATTAATATACTTTTATTGTAGTAGTGCTGAAGTTTGGTAAAAGTTAAACGCTGCTAGGGGAAAATGCAATTTACATCACTTCAACTTATAAACCCGGTGGTTAGGTGTTATTGCAAATACATTCATCCGAACATAATCTGACGTATAAAATAATTTCAGATGTTGAAGTAACTTCTCATTCATTATTGACCTTTTCAGGATTTGATGTAAATGTAAAATGATGCCTTGGTTTGTTAACATTTTAAGGAAGCTGGATTCTCTGATGTTACTGTGTTTGAGAAGGAAGAAGAAGTAGGCGGAAAATCGAAGACACTTTTGTACCGAGATGTCGTTCATGAAATGGGGACCTGCTATTCCCAGCCAGACTACACGGAACTATACAGACTCCTTGAAACTTACAATGCCGGAGATCTTCGTCCCTTACCTAGTCCTACAGTATGGAGAGGACAAGGTAATTATAAATGAAACAGAAAGGACTTATTTATCATATCATGAATATATTTCTAATGTTAAGAAAGGACTACTTTATTATATCACGAATACATTTCTAATGTTAAGAAAGGACTAATTTATCATATCACAAATATATTTCTAATGTTATCTGTGGATTGGCTGATAACAGAAGAGCGTTGTAAATGTAACACTTGTTATAGGTAGCCAGTGATTACCATAACAACATCACGTGACCAACAATGTGTAGGTGAAATAATATGGTTTTGTTAAGACTGTGGAACGTCTGGGTATATAGGAATGTCTATATTCAAATTTCATATCTGTTGTGGTCAGTATACGGTTTCTACATCCAAATGTTCTGCACTCAACTGGGTTTTGTTAAAACAAATTATTTTGCGGGACATTCCATTTCCAAAATTACAGGCAAAATGCACTCACTTGTTTTATCGTAAATTCTCCCGACGATGATGATATCTTTATAATTACAGATAAACTGACATCCATCCAGAACATGCTTGCTCCTGCAGCTGAACACTTGCCCGATGCTTCCCTGTTGGAAATCAAAGACGAGTTCATGAAAGCTATACATAGGTACTTGGACGTACATAATGATCTGTTTGGAAATTACGAAGGGGAATTGATGCCACGCCCGTCTAGATATACTCTAAAGCATGACCTTAACATGACATTATTAGAATTCATGACAAAACATAATGTAGATATTCTCGCAAACCTTTTTCTGCAGATACAAACAATTCAGGGCTATGGGCATTTAGACGAAATTCCAGCTTTGTATGGGTTGACATGGATGACTTCGAACTTTTTACTAAACCTCCTGAAACCTCCAGAAGGTGAACTCTCGGCTGTCAAAATACTAAGTAAAGGTTATCAAACGTTATGGAAGGAAATAGTAGACCAGGAAAATATCAACGTTCGATATTCATCTCCAGTAAGAAAGATATATCGGCGGAAGAAAGAGAATCGCCGCAAGGGTGGCAAGCGTCGTGCGGCGTTCGAGATACACTATGATGACCGGACTGGCTTTAGAAAGGGAGAGCCTTTTGACTTCCTTGTATTGACACCGGAAATGAAACTGCTTTCAGATTTAGATATCATCGACTTCAACGACGAGGAGATGAATCTTTTCGAGAGAATGAACCATCATTACTACGCAACAACGCTAGTAGACACCACATACGGGACAAATAGAGGTTTCACACCGCAAAGCTTCTTCGCTGATAATACAGAATCCAAAGTCGACGGGAAGGTGTGGGGGAAAAGAGACTCCTATAACAGCCTAGTATATAACGTGGGAAAACAATACACCGACGGATTGGTTCCTGGGGCTCCTGATGGAAGGTTCGAGCAAACATCCGTATATTATCAATTCTCAAAATCATTGCCGGAGAAAGAAGATCTGTTGGAGGAGTTGGTTGACCATATTCGTCAGAGGGAAAATGCAGAAGTTGTTAATATTCTGGATACCAATGTATGGGATTACTTTCCACAGTTTTCTGTTAAGGACATAGCGTCAGGAATAACTTGGGATATCTTTGACATGCAAGGGAAGTACGGTATTTGGTATGCTGGATCCTCTGTTTACTTTGAATCCGTTAAGTCGGTGCTGGAGTACAACAATCTCATATTCCGACAATACCGCCTACCGGAGTCGGAATAGTGCATAAACTTGTATATCGAAGTTAGCTAGAACCACAACGAGATCCAGCAAAACATGTCGATCAATAGTAAACCATTTCTGATGACAAAATAGGATATGGTCCCTAACGAAGAAGTACTTTAGTACAATACATGTCCATTTCATGGAAATATTTAAAAAACAAAAAAAAAAATAAAAAAATAAAAAAATTCAGTATCCGTTATATTTAACCCTCCTGGATTTTATTGCTATATCCGCTACAACCTATTTGTAACATAACCCATCAATTATATAATGTAGGGTTCTTTTAAGGAGAGATCTCCTTGTCGCACCTTGTGACTACCTCACTGAACAACATACAAGAGGCCCATCATATGTCATTCAGACAAATTAGGGTAAAGTGTTCTTGCAGGATAACATCAACATTACAGACCAGCCCACTTCTCAGTTCAGAAGGAGAACAAACAGACGTGGAATGGAACGTTTGATCTTTCTTCGTAATCTAATTATTTGACCTTATGCCCTATATCTGATATTTCATTGCTGTTACGCTACAATTAGAGTTTAACCATTGTTTCCCGTGCTTCTCCATACATACTTATCATATCAATAAAAAATACATAAAACAGTTTCCTGTTCTGTTATCTATGGACACAAATTATGATTATTATGTATCTAAAGAATCTCGACTTACACAGTCACAACATATTTTAACTGATATAATTTATTCACATGGTGAATGGACCTTGTTTGAATATTCCTGTATAATAATCTACAAACTGATGTCAGTCGTTCGGGATAAGATATCAAATATTACAAGGAAATGTACATGATCGATTCTCAATGAGTTTGTGGTCTTTAGTTTAATCCTGCAATGGTGTAGTTTACTAAAAAATAGTTTTAATCATGCAATGGAGTGGTTTACTCAAAAATAGTTTTAATCATGCAATGGAGTGGTTTAGTCAAAATGGTTTTAATCATGCAATGGAGTGGTTTACTCAAAAATAGTTTTAATCATGCAATGGAGAGGTTTACTCAAAAAGTTTTAATCATGCAATGGAGTGGTTTAGTCAGAATGGTTTTAATCAAAAAAACAGTTTTAATCATTAATCATGCAATGGAGTGGTTTACTCAAAAATAGTTTTAATCATGCAATGGAGTGGTTTAGTCAAAAATAGTTTTAATCATGCAATGGAGTGGTTTACTCAAAAATAGTTTTAATTATGCAATGGAGTGGTTTAGTCAAAATAGTTTTAATCATGCAATGGAGTGGTTTAGTCAAAAATAGTTTTCATCCTGTATTGGTTTTGCCCGAAGTAGTTTAATGCTGCAATGGCGTTGTTTAGTAAAAACAAGAAGAAAATACCAACATAATCATAATTAAAATTCAAGCAATAAAACAAAGACAAAATATAAACAAAAGAAATATTTACATAGAGACACCTGAATAGTACAAGGAGAGTAAAAACAGGTGTTCCGGAAGAGTAAGCGTCTTCTTCTTCATCGACGACACCCTCTGTGTAAACCTTGGCCAATCCAAGTACATTTTTGCAAGTAATGTCACGTTTTCAAATGAGAACAAAGTATAAAACAACGGAACCAACAGACAAATTATCGAGCATCAAGCAGGTTCAGCTTCGATTTTCATTCATTCTTTAATTCCTCTTTTAGAGATACAAAAAATGCGAAAATGCAAAAAAGATAATTACACAATTAAAGCCATAAACTTGGCTCAGTCTCTTGTAATTTTGATAGCGCGTACGCGATCGCGTTAGGATACGCGCTTTATATTCTGTCTTGCGCTGTCAGGTAGGTGTGCGATGCTGCTCTCAGAAATCGAGCGGCCATCATGTGATATTGTCTGTTTTCTTCCACATCTGGGTGGTGACGACCAAATAACATTCGGACAAATCCTTCTTCTTGTTGAGTGTCCAGGGCAAGGAATGTTTGTATTCCACATACATTCAGTATTTCTGTCATAAACGAGTCTCTGACAGCATATGTGACGTCACAATCAGAAACGTAGTGCTGAATGAGATCAGTCATTGATTTCCCACACTTACTACAGTTGTGTTGTTCCTTTTGTGGAGCGTATGTAACAAGCTTTGATACGAAACGAACGCACGCAAGGTCTGCTGTTGTCTCTGGTGCAGACCATAATACATAAGGATATATCTGAGTATGAACCCCACTGAAACGGTCAAAACGCTCGTCGTTTTCCATTCTTTCCCGCCACATTCTAGTTTCCACAGTCTTAATGGCACGGTTAACAAGCAATGCCCATGCTTTTTTGGACGGAAAGTGAATTCGGGTAGTCATATATTTTGTGAGTAGATCAAAGAGATTGTACTTTTTTAGTATCGAGTAGATGTCCGGTATAAATCCTTTTTGGCAAGTGGTGTCTGAGTGAAGGTAAGAGTATAATCGAGTTAAAAACACTTTCTTGGCAAGAATGTCAATGGGAAGTTTAATAAGTCTGTAAAGAAATTGGAGTTTCCGTCGATCTATCTCAGCGGTAATCCGAAATAGACCTACCATACTTTCTGCTATGTCCGAGCGTGTACGTGTGGGGAAATCTTGAAGTTTTTTGCTACAAGATGCTGATATCGTGAGAGTTTATCAATGTCACATTGTCTCATCGTATTCCATGTTTCGCATCCGTAAAGGATGGACGGCATTATAACTTTTTTGTACATACTGACTAGTGTAAGCGGGTTCAAGATTTTATTGGTTGATCTTATACCAAGAATAGAAAACAATGCAGCACGCCCTTTTTTACAACTTTTTTTCTATCTTTCTAGAACATGTCATGTCCTCAGATATCGGTATTCCAAGATGTTCTTGAGTTTCTTTAGTATCCAACTTTGAACCGTTTAGTTTCCAACTGAAGCTGTTGACATCAAATCTGCCACCAAACACCATGGTGCAAGATTCGTTAGAATTAAAGGCAAATTTCCACCGAGTCGAGTAATTTTGACAAATATTAAGGAGCTGCTGAAGAGAACGTGGTGACAAGGCTAGCAGTGTAATATCATCGGCAAGCGCGGGGTTTCCACAGTTTATCGTTGACAGTGGGGCACCGAACTTCGATTCAGAGAGGTTATTCAGGAGATCGTCAATAAATATAAGGTAGTACAATGTGGATAATATCCCTCCCTGTCTCAATCCACGTTTCATGTCCACCCAACGTGAGCGGATCCCGTTGCAAAGGACACAACTTTCAAGGCCGGTATACGTATTCCGGATAATGGTAAGCATTTTCCCATGAATTCCTTTCATTTCAAGTTTTTGCATTAATCATTCGTGCCATACGGTATCAAATGCTTTCTTTATATCAAGGAAAGCGGCGTATACTTTGTTGTGCTTTTCAATATTCGCGTTAAGTGTTTCTTGTAGTATAAAAGAAGCTGTTTGACACCCAAGTAGTTGCTGAAATCCCTGTTGCTGTTCATTTGGGAACGTTGGGTGGTTTTCACCTAGCCATAGTTTAAGTCGTTTATGGATAACGGATTCATACAGTTTGTACATAGCAGGTAGGAGCGAAATAGGTCGATAACTCTCCGGATCTGATCTAGGCTTGTGATTCCCTTTATATATAGGTATAATGATACCTTTTTTCCAGACGTCAGGAATTACCGCACTTCTCGTTATGAGATGAAAGAATTCCACGAGGTAAGTGATGAGGGATCTTCCTCCATATTTGAAATGTTCATTGGTCAGTCTATCAATTCCTGGCGCTTTACGTAAATTGTTTTTATGTATGGCCTCTACCACTCTACTATCGAGCATCAAGCAGGTTCAGCTTCAATAGTATCAGATAGTTTTCAAAACTACACTGTCTGTGTTGATCTTTATTTTCTTGCAAATCAGCAGCCAACTGACTTGTATGAAATCAACAGTCAGACCTGCCACCCCCTCCAGTATTATACACAGCTGTCAATGTAATATTAGTAATTACGTGTGGTTAGTTCCATTTGTAGCATGTAGGGAAGACATAAAAACACTTCATCTCGGGATCAACAATCAATGGTATTGCATCACACAGACACGACCAGACCTGCTGTAGCAAGACATTACAATACGTGGCATGACATGCAGGCGGTTAAAACTAACCACTAAACCTACTTGCAATACTACTAATAGCGTAAATTAAATAACTTGTTTCGCAATTATTGTAAAATAAAGTTTAAAGTTTAACTCCCAACTACGCATTTGTACGCATTGTGACGACGATGTTGGGAAAACAGACTTATCTCCCTTAGTTGTGGAGGTATTGATCTCTGATTGTATCTCATAAGTTTGGAGAAAATGCTGAACAACTTTTGTTCTTTTTTTTTATTTTTCATCTGACATACGTAGGTTAAGAAACAAGTTATCATATCTAGAACACATAGCATCTGATTTTGTTATAGTTTGTATTACAGAGACTCATCTTGACTTACATATATAGCTGACGATGACGTACTCTTAGTGAATTTGATTATGTACCGAAAGGACCGTGGAAACACGAATGTGTACACTTACAGTCTTTGGCGCACGTGTAGTAGAAATGACTTGGAATTTCCGTCCGGTGAAGTTGTATAGGATGAGGTCCAGTTTCCAAGTAAAAAATCCTTGTATGCAGTCTATAGACCACCAAATGTTCATCACACTTTGTGGAACTTCTTTTCCGTTTCTCAATTTTAACTGTTTTGACTGAAACTCCTCATGTAGTTATACTTGGTGATATGAATGTTGACTTTGTAGTATAAGATAAAAACACGCACTCGTTGATGTAATGAAATCCTACAATTTGGTTAACGTGATCAACAGACCGATATGGATTGGACCCACGCGGAACCCGCTTCTTGACCCAATTCTTATTTCTGACACGTGCACTTTTCCAGCGACAGTCGTAATCGATATAGATCGTGATTATTCCTATCATCAAGCAACAACTGTGAACGTGACTGTTGGGATTAACATTGTAAAAAGTTATAAAATGTTTTTTATGTTATAAGGATGCAGATTATGAACAATCGACTTTTAGATACATTTTGGACTGAACTTTTTATGGACAAACATTAACATGACGACATGTGTGACATTTTTACTACAAGGTACTAAGAAATTACTTATGAGTGTATTCCTTCTTAAACAGTTACAATTATACCTAATGACAAACCATGGTTCAACTCGGACTTAAAACGCGAAATTAGAAAAAAAACAGATTATTACACGCACTCCTAATAAGCTAAATAGCTTCAGGAAGCATCGAAATTACGCAAACAATCTTAGAACAGGACAAGAGATTTTTTATGCGGACATAAATGTATTTTTGGACAATTTTTTGCGTACTCAGCAATATAACAAACAGAATCTAACAAGCATATTTTTTAATTTCTCTGTCCCTCTCTTCCTCACTCTTCTGAAGTCATGTATTCTATACTATTACTATTTGTGAATGATATCACTGCAGTGATATCTTTATGAAAGAAATTAATATAATAGTCATAATGGGAAAGCATTTGTATGGGTGTACCATGTACCTGCTCCTTCTCTGTGTAAACGAACAAGTGAAACGGAGATTTCAGAAAGCAACGAGTGTCAAGGAGGAAGTATACAAAGCACGAGAAGTGATAGACATTGACAAGTTGTGAGTTTAGGCATGTGGACAGTGTGTCACATGTTTCGTTTGCATGATCTAACTCAATATAAAGTATTCTAAACATACACCTCCTTCCCCTCTCTCTAAACTTGTTTGTAATTGTTAATCATTGTATCATACTGCCACCTTGTAAATATAATTTATGTGTATTAAGCGCAGAAAGGGCTTTATATAAGTTGTAGAACTTGTTCCCAATACAAACAGGTTTAAATGAAATGTTGTTGTCATCCGGTTTTTCTCACATCAATGTGTTTGCTGATAGCAATAGTCAGCAAGACTACGACAATTACTGTGTTAAATTGCCTATATCACTAGAATCAAGGTTAATAGATCACCATAGCTTCATAAACACATTGTGTTGAAAAGCTGACAGCAATCGGTGACAAGAATACACGAACATCTTCTTCGCCACCCATGTAGACTTCCAATTTCTATTTTTATTTATTTGTTTATTTTCAAATTTTAAGTAGTGAACATCCGGTGCAAGCGGTCTTCCCACTTTTCATCATTATGTAATACTACAGGCAGATTGCTTTAACGAAATTGTAGTTAGTGATATCCGTGATGACTTTGTTTTGGTCTAATACCTGTACTGGAGTAGACCATCTTTGTACTATTGTGATCACAGATTATTGGTCCCATTTCATCCATACTTAGACAAATATAAATACCGATATAAGGAAAGAAATAACTGCTGGGAAATTCTAACAAACAAGTTTTCAGTTTCCTATTTTATATTCTGGTGGTTGACTAAACTATTATTCATTATATGCAAAGATTTTCTTATGTAATGAAATTTGGACAGACCAAAAAAAAAAACAAAAAAAAAGCAAATGCGTATTTAGACAACATCAACTATTCGAAAAACGAACTAGTAACCATGGCAACAACCATGAATTAGTAAATTTCTGGCATATACATATTCTTAGGTTCCTAATCCAATATATCACAATACTACGAATTTCTGATATTTTTTATTCACTTCAATCGTCGAAAACACTTACTAATGTTATGAAAGTGATATTTATTTCAAATGCTTAAAATTCTGGCTGCTACGGTTACGTCATTATAAAGCCGAAAAAGTTTTGTCAAAAGGTTTGGATAGCTTGTATTCCCATGTTTCTAAATATAAGAGGGATGATTACCAAAAATTTGACTGGAAAAAGGTGAAAATTTATGTTGAAGCAAAAGGACAGATTTTCCTTAGTGTCATACATATTGCTGGGAGTTAAGAGTTTAAATATCATTATAGAGTATGTATATTCATATTCAAACCTGCTACCCATTCGACACGAACTAGAGATGATCTTGCTACTTCAGACGGGTTCGATCAGACACACTTGATGATCGGTACATCCTACATGCGGCAACTCGTAAAGTACAGCAGGATTGCCCTCTCCCCACTTACCCGTTTTTATTTTGACTATACTTATCATATGGCTCTTAAGTCTCTACTTTCACTTTCGTTCATATTTAAAACTGGTGCCGATATTGAATTCTATATTGGAAGTAGACAATCTAAATTCTTTGACTGACTCGGTTGACTGATCTGGGGTCCATTGTTTTATTCTTATTTAGCATGGGACCGAGATTTACCGACAAGCCATTACGTTCTAGAAGAGTGATTTTATAATTAAAATCCACAGGGACTTAGCAAGATGTTCCGATCTTTGTTCATATAAATGTATTTATTGTAATGCAAAAAATACGTTCAGTTTTACTATTTCAATAGTACAGTTTTAAACTATACAACGTTTATGGACCGTGTTACGGGAATTCGTGCGAAATCCCCGTCTTTCATACAACAGCTTAAGATGACTTTATGCTCAGTATAAACGACCTTCTGCATCCATCGCCTGAAGGGATTGTCGAGACACCTAGATTTGCACCACCGCTCTCAATCATAGTTTATGTCTTTGTTTTATGTTCTATGTATGTGATGTAACTTATGTAATCAAATATGTCTGGATAAAGGGATAAATTCCCACGAAAAGCTGACAGTTTATATGTTTGTACGGTCGTAATACTTCACAGATCATATATCTTTTCCAGTAATACCAATCTAACGAAAATTTGTTAGGATCCACTACCAATATTGAACCATACCGCCGATATTACTTACTAGATTTTGACAAAAAACATTTCTGGCATTTCCCCGAATTCAAAGGCAATATCTGTTTATGATTGGTGTTTTTTTCACAGGTGTATATTATTTGATTTGATATATAAGACGTTGAAGATGTCAAACGTGATAAGACAATAATATGATGTGTCAGTTGTAATATTTCTTACATCGTGTCAGCTTAATGCCACACATTTTACAATTACGTGACTAACACTCTCAGTATGTGTATTTTATACACATCTGAACTGAGATGATTCGTGTTAGAGTTGCTTCCTTGTTCAGGTGTGAAAGATATTAACAAACGCATTTAGGATTTACTTTTATAAATAATTTTACCATTTTCAGGATACTTTTGTTGCAGTGGCAATTATCATAAACAAGACACAAAATGGCTGGCCAGATGGAGACATCATTACGAGAATAACTCATAGTGAAGAAAGACATTATAACGACGACTACATATGGTGATAGAAGACACACTTTGTT